TCTCGATGGCCGCCTCGTTTGAGGATGGGCTGTACATGCAGAGTGTGGTGGATGCCATCAAAAGATCGAGCAGATCCGGGGAGTGGGAGGCTGTGGAGGTGCTGACAGAAGAACCCGACGCCAACCAGAACCTCTGTGAGGCACTGCAACGGAATAACCTGTGAGCCTGCATATGGGCTCCCTGCCATGGGGCCGAGGGGCCGGGGAGGGACCAGAAGCTGGCACAGGAGGGCTTGGCCATAGTGTCTTTCATCTTGGGCAGGGTCCAGGTGACGCCCAAGGTGGCCCTGGGAAAACGCCCCCTCCAATGCTCATTTGCTCCTCAGACTTGCAGGGTGGTGATATAGCTGAGGGCTAGCACAGTGTGCCTGGGGTGGGGCTGCCCCCTGGTCTCTGCATAGTCACACTGGTGAGCAGAGCCAGCCAGAGCTTGACTTGGAGGCTGCTTTTGCCTATTTGTGGTCCTAACTAGGTGAGGAAGCGTAGCAAGGACCCAGCTTGGCTGATTCCTCAGCCTGAGGAAAAATGACAAGAAGCCTCGTTTTCATGCCCTTCCTGGGCTAGGGCATCTCAGGAATGGTGAGGGTGTCGAGTCATCCCTCAGGGATCCACACCTGCCCTCCTTCCCATATGACCAGGCCCTTCCAGCCTCTAGGCTGTCCCTTCCCTGGCAGGGAGGAGGGGTTCTTCATTAGGTAAACTCTCAGGGGCTGTTGACCTGGGGAAAAGGGCCCCCGACTTGGCGGAGAGGAGATAGGGTTCTGGAATATCTGATAAGTGTTAATAAATAAATCAGAAAGTCTGACACTATGTCACAGTTGCTGGTTGTTTGTTTGGTAGGTTGGGTTTCTTTAATAATGAAAGGCTTGTTTATTGTTGTAGATTGTTTATATTTTTCTCTTTCCTTGTGGCTCCGCAGCAGCTCTGGCCTGCTTTGGATCCATCACGGTCTAGTGGGCTTATCCCCTTGCGACTGAATCCCAGGAGCTGTCCAAGAAAAAGTCTTTTCTCAGACAACAGGACTCAAGACTTCCTGATTTGTGCCTGTCATGCCTGCTGTCTCAGGGAGATGGGGAGAGCTTGGGACCTTCCTGGGCCGGAGGTCAGGAAAAGTTCTGTTCTTGCAACCATGGATTTGGCTCTGGGGAGCCCTGGGAGAGGGGAAGTGAGGAGTGGTCTCAGGGAACCTGGATGGAATGAACTAGAGGAAGGCTCCACGTGTTGCCCCATGGAGTGGGTGCAGCCCAGCACTGCCTGGCCCAGACAGCTGGTCACCAGCCTTGCTTTTATTCACTGTTCTATGCTGGGACTGCCTTTTGACCATGTCAGAAGTGAGGTGGGTGGGGGAAAAGGACACACACCCCTTTGTTCCTCTGCCAGCCTTCCCAGATTAGGCCTGGACCCAACTCTTCCCTTCTCTGAACTTCCCTCTCTCTTCCTTGCCCTGGGCTCCTTGCCAGAGAAAGAAAGGCTCAGGGAAGTCTCCCTCTTCCTCTTGGCACCCTTTCTAGAAGTCACCAAGTCAATTTTCCTGTGTGTTGCCCTGGTTGAAACCTTGTCCTTGTGAGAAAATAGCAGCGGCTAGTGTTGGGGAATGTGCTTCTTGCATGCTGCCCCACCCCGGTAATACACTTCATGCATGTTATTTCATTTAATATCCAAACCACTCTATGGGGTACCAATATTAATATTCTCATTCAGATCAGAAAAGTGACGTAGAGGGGGGCAAAGTTACTTGCCTCCTGTAAGTTAAAAGTGATGGAGCCAGGGAGGAGCCTGCAGGGTCATCCAACTACAGAGCCTGACTCTGAACTACTCTTTCCCCAGCACTTGCAGATCTCAGAGACTGAGTGCCCAGGCACTGCCCCTCCCCACTCAGGCCCCCATCCAGGTTACTGCTTCTCTCTGCAGCAGGAATCTCAGCAAGACCTCAGCTAGGAGGTGGACTGCAGAGAGAACCTGCAAGGCAGGATGCTGGTAGAGTTTAGAAAGAGGCTGCTTGGGGTGCCTTGGTGGCTCAGTCAGTTGAGCATCAGATATTTGATCTCAGCTTAAGTCTTGATTTTGGGAGTTGTGAGTTCTAGGCCCCGCATGCTGGGTGAGGAGCCTACTTAAAAAAAAAAAAAGAAGAAGAAGAAGGAAGAAAAGAAAGAAAGAGGCTGCTCTCTTCCTCCTGGGATGATCAGATCAGCTCCAGGTCAGTCCCTCTGTGTTATGAGGATGATGGGATCCTTCCAAAATTGGGGGATTTACTAAGAAAGCCCAAGTGTCCATCGTACATGACTCAGGTGCTCCTACTTAAGAAAGAGCCAGGTTACTGACCCACAATGGCACTTACGAAGTTTCATGGGGCTCTACAGCAAACCCCTTGTTTACAAAGACAGGTTCCCAGAAGTCCTCGGGCAGGTGGCAGTGGGCTTGGTACAGAGCTACTTTTGTGAGGACCCTGGGTTCCTGTTGGTACTCCCCAGAGCCTACCTCCATGGCCATCCCTCAGACATCTTTACCATCATATATTTCTTGGGTTGGTCCCAGGGAGGAGATGCACCTTGAAGTAGCCCAGATGCCTGTGGCCAAGGAAGCCAGCAGGGTTCTGGTCCTCTGGTGACTGTGCCTGCATGAGGTTCCAGGCTTGTCCTGCAGCGCCCCCTCCTGGAGGGAGGCAGCATCACCTCCCACGACCAGTTCCCTAAATCTCAGGATCTTCCTTGCGTCAGAGTAGATTAAATTTTTCCAAGCCACTGAAAAGAACTTCCAAAATACCTATTCCTGATTTCTCAACCCCCAGCCAAATGTAGGCCTCATACTCACCCAGGCAATCAGCAATCAGCCCAGCAGTCTCCTTACCTCCCTGTCCCCAGTCTCCATTCCTCCTTTTGCCCTTCCTACTCTTGCCCAAGTGACCTCTCCAGAATGCCAGGCCAAGATCCCCGCTTGCCTACACCCCTTCTCATTGCTCCCAGAACCGCCCACCCTGCTGTCCTGGTGGCCATGCCTCCGCTTCAGCCATGCTAAATGACCCTCCTGCATGGGGCTGACATCTTTCACATAAGCAAGGCTTTTCCCTGGCATATCCTCTGCTTGGAAGGCCACCCAACTCTCCAGGAGTCAGTTGGAGGGGTGCCTCTTCCCTGCTTCCCTGGGCAAAATGGCAGGTCTTCCCCCTCACCGAGGTCCCGCAGCCTTGGTCCTCTGCTCTTCAGTGGAACCTGTCTCCTTGCATTACACTCAGCATTTCCCCTGTAGAGTGAGCTTTAATTTATTTATTTACTTATTTATTTATTACGATTTTATTTGAGAGAGAACATGAGCTGAGGGAGAGGCAGACTCCCTGCTAGCAGGGAGCCCGATGCGGGGCTCAATCCCAGGACCCTGGAATCATAACCTGAGCCGAAGGCAGACACTTAACCAACTGAGCCACCGAGGCGCCCCTAGATTGAGCCTTTAGGAACAATAGTAGTGACTTGTTCCTTTCTGTGGCTACTCTCACCCACCCTGCTTAGATAAACCTGTCAGGAAATAGATAGACCTGCAAATGTAGATCAGTACTTTCTTTGGTGATTATTGAGTATTTCCTACGTCACCTGTTGGAAGAGAGGAACAGAGCTTCCTTGTCAGTGCTGGCCTGGCTCACACCTCCAGCCCAGGAGACCATACAGAAAGCAGATGCTTGGCCTTCTTGGGTCAGGCCTTAGCCAGAGTCCTCAGGTCCAGATCTGCAGGGTTCAGGAAAGGGCAGTGTCTCTCTGGTGCCCACGGTGTGATTTCATATGAAGCCATTCCCCCCTCAAGGCCTCTGCTTCCTCAGCCATAAAGTGAGGCAGTCGAGCTCAGTTAGTTTTTTTTTTTTTTAGGATTTTATTTATTTGAGAGAGAGCAGAACGAGAAAGCAGGAGTGGGGTGAGGGGAAGAGGGAGAGGGAGGAGACTCCCCGCTGAGCAGGGAGCCCAGGGCAGGGGCGTGAACCGTGGGATCTGAGAGGCTCTCAGCCTAGAGGGTACATGAAACCAGCCTTGATACTGATTAGCTTGTAGGAGCAAAGAAGGAGCAAAGAACAGGATGGGACCTGGGGTGACACCCAGGATTTTGGCTTGAACCATTGTGTTGATGGGACACGGGAAGAAAAGCAGATTGGAGGGAGAAGTTACTCATTTAATTTGGAGATCCCTATGCTTCAGGTATATGAGGGACATGCAGGAGGACCAGGAGGCAGCAGGGTATGAGGGTTTCCAAAATGGCCAGCACTGGCTGCCTGTTAAGTAGCAGTTATCCAGTGACTTGGCTGCAAGGCTCCAGGGAGAACATTCACACCCACCACCACACCCTGGCTGCCAGGAAAAAGGCACCAATGCCTCTATTAGCAGGGCCACCTTGGAGGCAAAGTCTGGTCCAGCTGTGGTCTCCTACAGTAAGTGGAAAGCATTCCAAAGACTCCACTCTTGGGGCAGGCAAATGAACTGACACACCTCAATGGGAGATCCTAAGAGTTGTACCCTCAAGTTCAGACCAAATGCAGGAGGCTTCCCTGGGAGACAGCAAAACCAAGCAGCTGCTTCCCGTGACCTGGCCATCCCTTTCCTTTCTCTGCCCCGAGTTTCTCCTTATCACCTCCCTCTGCATCCACACTGTTATCCTGTCTGACCTTCAGGTTCACCTGAGGAGCCTTTAAATGCACAAAACTAGGCCCCACCCCTGCAGATTCTGATTTGGTTAGGTCTGGGGTCGTGCCCAAGAACCTGTACTTTTGTCAAGTTCTTGGGTGATCCAGATGACCAGTCAGGCTTCAAACCCTGCACCCACCTTCCCAGCCTCTCTTCAGCCATCTTATTTGCAAAATCACCAAGTCTGAGAAAAGGAAAAATGTTTATTTTCAGCAAGTCCAAGGTCCCAAGTAGGGAGAGGGGCCAAATTTTCCCTTGCGCCCCAGGGCCTAGGCTGCTGCTCTGGTTCAGACTTGGGAGAAGGGGAGCCACGAGTGGGGCGGGGGGGGAGCAGGAAAGTCACTTGTACTGAGGAGAGAGCGGAGGTACAAGTGGGGCCGCGCAAACACTCAGCATCTTGTCGATGTCCACCTGGGTTGACTTATCCACCTCAGCCTTGAGGCGGCTGCTGCCCCCCAGCCTGGGCAAACACCCAGGCTCCTCTCCCACCTCCTCTCCCAGGGGAACCAGAGCATGGGTGGAGGACACAGATGTACTGGGGCAAGGCAGGGTGAGGCCCGAGGCCAGCTCACCTGCCACGGGCAGCAAGGCCTGCAGTTGCTCCACACCGGCTTCCTCGGGGACCAGGGCCAGCTCCAACTCAGGCTCCATCTCTGCCTCAGCTTCCCTGTCCCCCTCCCCTGCCTGATTCAGCTCAGGATTGCAGTAGTTGATGTACTGGTACAGGGGCCGCAGGCGCTGGGACTTCCCTGCAAAGACCCGGGGCAGGGCAGGGGCTAGAACACCCACACTGTGCCATGTCAGGGTTCCATCAGGCAGGAGGAAAAGGGAAGGCCCAGGGGCTGTCACTCACTCTCCAGCCCCAAGGTCTCTGAAGGGGCAGACACCGTGCTGGCCAGAGCTGGGAGCACTGGAGCCCCCAGACTCTTGCGCTTCTTGGCTTTTTTGTGCTGTTTGGCAGATGGTAAGGGCTCACTCTGGCTACTCTCTGACTCCTCCTTCTGCAGTGGCAGCCCCTGTGGTATCTCTGCTTCAGCCCTAGGATGGGCTTGGTGGCTAGGCCCTGGGAGGCTGGGGGACAGGAGGCCTAAGGAGCCAGCCTCCAGCTTTGGCTCCTGTTCCCTGACCATAGGGAATAGCTCTGCCTCTCCACCACCTGGGGCCCAGATTCTCATCCCCTTCCTGGTCAGTGAGATTCTGGGCTGGACGGCGGACTAGAGCTCATGTGAGCTCAGTACCCTACAAGGCCTTGAGACTCCTCCTCTGGATGCCCAACATCCCCCCCCCCCACCACCACCAATGCCAGGGCTCTTCAGGAACAGAGGGAGTGAGGAGTGATGGTGGTGGCAGCGGGCAAGGATGCACTCTGTAGGAGTGTGAGCCCAGCCAACCCCCTCCGCCAGCCCTGCAGTTCCTTCCCTCTGAAAGCTCCCTCACTTGACAGGCTTCCTCTTCGGACCATGACTGGTCCTCACAATGGAGGCCGTAGGCCTAGGGCCTCTCTCCTCTAGTGAATCCACCTCTAGCTTGAGCCTCTCTTCCTCCAGCTTGAGTTGTTCCTCCTGGAGCCCTGGTTCTGAGACTGGTCCTGTTGGGCACTTGTCCTCACCCAGGCTCCGGCAGGCCTCATAGGCTGGTGCCAGGCACGGGTCTGCCATCACCGGCCACTAGAGGTGACACATAGGTAACTGGTCACCAGGCAAAAGATACAGGGGATCAGTCATGAGACACCTGACAAACACCAAATGCAGATGAGGGGCACCAGTCCGTGCCCCTCCCTGCCGTGGAGCTTGTCCTGGCAGTTAGGGGGGCGTCGCACAGAGTTTGGCCTCCTAGAGTGCCCCGGACAAGTGTTTGAAGACTACACAGCCTGACGGTCACCTCAGAGTTATGAGCGTGGCCACCGGACGACTCCGCGAGCTGTGCCGGCCCCGCGGCGGTCCTCTCCTGGGCCCCTGGCCGTCTCTCAGCCCTGGCTGAGGCCATTGCTGCATGGGGTCAGCGCCTCCTCGGAGGTTGCTTGCGGGGAGGAGGGCGAGGGGCCGGACTTGCGGACCTGGCGCTGACACCAAAGACCCGCCGGCGAGGGCAGGCGGGTGGGAAGGGAACCTGACGGTGGCTCCGCTCCCCCAACCCCTCAGCTGGAACTACAAGCCCCAGAAGGCTTTGCGCCAGGGGGCCTTGGCCCCTGACCTCGGGGACGGAAACTACTGTTGCCTGGCAACAGCAAGCCCGTGGGGTTGCAGCAGCTGGCGGCAAAACTGCTCCGGTGAGCTCCTTGCCCGAGTGTTGTGAGGAAGGGGTCGCGAACTGGGCAGGAAAGTGGGTTAAGAGCGGAGGCAGCGAGCGCTGGAGGGGTCGGGCTGCGCGGCGGGGACCGGGAATGGAGGGCGCCGCTGGGGTCAGGATCCGGGCCCAGGACCGGGGAGGAGGCACTGGGCTGAGGAAGGGGCCTCGGTGCACCGTTGCAGGGCAGCGACGGCGGCATGTGCGAGGGCCCATCCCGCATCTCGGGGCCCATCCCTCCAGACCCTACGCTCTGCCCTGACTACTACCGGCGGCCGGCCTCGGGTGAGTTGGAGGGGTGCGGCGCTGCAGGGCGAGGCCCGAGCGAGGCCCGAGCGAGGCCCGAGCGAGGTTCTGGCTTCGCTCCACCACTGCGCTCCGCACTGAGCTCCCCGTCTGGCTTGTCAGCCCAAGGACGCCTTGAGGGAAACGCGCTGAAGCTGGACCTGCTGACTTCGGACCTAGATTTGGACCCCACCCCTCCGCGCGGCCCCCGCGTAGGTCCCGGAGCCAGAGAGATCCTGGAGCGTGGCCGGCGTGGCGTCGGGGGAGTGCTGCTGCAACTCGGGGGCATCTCCCTAGGCCCTGGGGCCTCTCCCAAGAGTAAGTTCAGACAGAAGGGGCAATGAGGCCAGTATGAGGTCAAACGCTGCTTCTCCAAAACGCATTGCTTCTCCTTCCCAGATCTGGGTTCAGGCTTTGCCTCCCTGAGTGTCATTTTCCCCAACTATAGAAGGAGGGGAAAATGCCTTACTTCCTCATGGGAGAGGACTGAATGAAGTTGTTCCCAGGAACCCTAGTTCAGCTTAATGAATTCATGCATCAGCGAAACATTGTGTGATGAGTGCCTACGGCGTGCCCGCCTTGTAGGTGCTAGAAAAACGATAAACAAGTGAAGAGATGGATATAATATACAAGATGATTATTGGTGTACTTCACAGTAAAAATGTAAGAAAATAATCAAGGACAGAAGAAGATAATTACTATGTCAGGAAGGGAATGTAGTGATGTGTATACTGTCTTAGATGGAGAGGTCAGGGAGATCTTTCCGCAGGAGGGAGGGTGTGGGCCCTGTGTGTGAACTCCAAGTGGGAGTTGGATCTCCTGGGCTCTATGTAGGGTAGAGTCTGGCAACATCTTTTTCCAGGGAAGGACCCTAAAGACCATGAGAAGGAGAACCTGAAGCGGATCAGGGAGATCCAGAGGCGCTTCCGTGAGCAGGAGCGCAGCCGGGAGCAGAGCCAGCCCAGGCCCCTGAAGGCTCTGTGGCGATCGCCCAAATATGACAAAGTAGAGTCCCGGGTCAAGGCCCAGCTGCAGGTACCTACCTTGGAGAGCCAGAAGCATTGTTCATCTTGTGGACTGATAGGCAGTTATACTCAGATCTGAGTTATGGGGAAGGATGAAAATCACAGGGGACTAGGGTAACAGGGGCTAAGAAATAGCTGATTTGCTGCAGAGTCAGGCTGGGGGTTTCCTCAGAAGTGGCAATGGCTGGGTGATCCTGAGGGGCAAGCAGGAATTAGGCAAGGGGAGAATGGAAGAGAATATTCTACTGCGATGGAACCTCACAGAAGTCCTAAGACTAGAAGGAGTGTGTGCAGTGGGATGTTGTGTACAGGGGAGAAGAGCATGAGGCTAGGCTAAGAAGTCAGCTGGACCCACATCATAAAGGATCACATAATCCACTTTTCAACCTACCTTCCTTCCTTCCTTTCTTTCTTTTCTTTCTTTCTTTCTTTATTTCTTTGTGTCTGAGTATGAGAGAGAGACCATGAGCGGGGTGGGTGGGGCCGGGGGCAATAGGCAGAGGAGAAGCAGGCTTCCCGCCAAGCAGGGAGCCCGATGAGGGGCTCGATCCCAGGACCCTGGGATCATGACCTGAGCTGAAGGCAGATGCTTAACGACTGAGTCACCCAGGTGCCCCTCAACCTTTATTTCTACGGGCAGTGAGAAGGGCAGGGGTACTGTGGTGGGATTCTTCAGTAGATAGTAGTACCATATCACTATCCAGAGTCCTCAGAAGGAGGAGCAGGATTGAGAGAAAAGACAATAAGGTCATATGCAAATTTGTTGAAACTGAAGCATTTGTGGGACTCCCAGGGGGTTGGGAGTATGTCCAGGAAACAGATGGAGAGTCAGGCCTGGATCTGAAGAGTGAGACCCAGGAGTTATTGAGGATTAGGCTGATGACAGTGAGACCAGGGAAGTGACCCTGGATTTGAGGGCTTGGAGGCCAGTTATGAGTGACCTTGGTGGGGACAGAGACAGGAAGCTTGGTCAGGAAGGAGAGAAAAAGGGAATGGTAGCCAGAGCTAGGACTGGTTTGTTGTTTTCCTAAAAATGTGAGGAGGGGTGGTTTGTTGTTTTCCTAAAGATGTGAGAGACCCATGTATTTTTTTTTAAAGATTTTATTTATTTATTTCACAGAGAGAGAGACAGCGAGAGAGGGAACACAAGCAGGGGGAGTGGGAAAGGGAGAAACAGGCTTCCCGCCGAGCAGGGAGCCCGATGCGGGGCTCGATCCCAGGACCCTGGGATCATGACCTGAGCCGAAGGCAGTCGCTCAACCAACTGAGCCATCCAGGCGCCCCAAGACCCACATATTTAAATGCTCATGGATAGAAGTGTTCTTTCAAGAGAGAAGAGGCCCATAGGGCTGGAGATAGAGAAGTATCCTTACAGGCATAAGGAACAGAAGCTCACTCTATGGCTGGCTTAAGACCCTGGCTTCAGCTTGACTGATTCCTCTGCTGTGCCCTGCCCTCCAGGAGCCCAGCCCTGCCTCTAGAACAGAGCCTGCCCACTTCCTGCGGGCACACTCCCGCTGCGGCCCTGGGCTCCCGCCACCCCGTGTCCCCAGCCCTCAGCTAACCCCACCAGGCCCCAGTGCTAAGGTGAGAGGATGGGTGGGGGCTGGGGTGGGGGCAGAGATCTTGAGGGGTTCAGGAGCACATCACGGTGCTGTCTACCCCATCGTGCTTGCCGTGTCCTGCAGGGGCCAGGCCTGGGTGTGGACTTCATTAGCCACAATGCCCGCACTGCCAAGAGGGCCCCTCGGAGGCACTCCCGCTCACTGCAGGTCCTGGCTCGAGTACTGGAGCAGCAGCGGCAAGCCCAAGCGCACTATGATGCCACGCAGAAGGGCCACGTGCCCCATTAGTAGGTCCCACTGCCCAATACCTAGGGTGAAGGGTGCCTCTGGAGGGTGGGAGGCATCCTCTGCCCTAGGACCATCAACTCTGACCCTGTGCGTCTGCAGCTTATTGGAACGCAGGGATCTGTGGCGGCGGGAGGCTGAGGCCCGCCAGCAGAGCCAGCCGGACCCTGCCATGCCCCCTGGCCACACTCGCATGCCTGAGAACCAGAGGCTGGAGACACTGAGCAATCTGCTCCAGAGTGAGTTCGTGGGCAAGGGGTCGGAGGGGAGTGGATGGGGAACCCAGTGGGGACCATGCAAGCCCTGCCTGGCACTCACTGTTCCTGGGACCCTTGTAGGCCAGAGCCAGTTGCTACGTGAGCTGGTGCTGCTGCCTGCTGGGGCAGATTCACTCAAGGCGCAGGGCCACCGTGCTGAGCTGGACCGGAAGCTGGTGCAGGTAGAGGAAGCCATCAGGATCTTTTCCCGCCCCAAGGTCTTTGTGAAGATGGATGCCTGAGTGCTTTTATTGGGGGTAGTTATGGGGGTCCTCACTGAGAATCGCCACGCAGTTGCAAAGGGCAGGATGAGGCCCCATCCTAGAATGGAGTCTGAAGACAGGAGTCTTCAGACTCCTGGGGGTGGGCAGTTTCCCCAGAGCACTCTTCCCAGCCACTGGTGGCTGTAGAAGGGCAGCCCAGCCTCTTAACCCTTTGTTAAAATTAAACCTTTTGTACACAGTGAGGTTTGTTTCCATAAGAGCTTTTTCTTACCCTAGAAATGCCAAGTCTGGTGTCCTTCCTGCTGCTTGACTGCAGGAAGGTCTCTCTGTTGTCCTTACCACTCCTGCCTTGTGTCCAGGGCAGAAGGCAAAATTGTGAGACCAGGGAGGACGTTAATGCTGGGACACAGAAAGACCATGACTGCATTTGTAGAAAACCTTTAATGTTCCCCAGACTGAGAGGGCCCTGTGAGCAAGCTTAAAACCCCCACTGAGGAAGTCCCTGCCATTGCCCAGCAGCCTGGAGTGGCAAGGGGCTGCGTCCTTGCCTGTCAGAGGCTAAAGCCACTACCATCTCCTCGCATGCTACTCCCCCATCCGGAGCTGGCCCGCTCCTGATCATCCAGGGAGGGCAGAGAGCTTCGGGTACCAGGAAGTAGACGGCCCTGGCGCAGGTCCCAGCATGGAGGCCCCTTAGACAGCCCATTGGAACAGGGAGGCTGGCGGTTCTCAATGACCAGATCACTGCTGTCATCGTCGCTATCAGCCTCAGTGGGCCCAGGCCCAGCAGAGGGAGGCCCTGACAGACGCCCAGATGCCCCACGCACCACATTATTGCGCTGATTGGCTGGCTTGACAGTGACAATGAGGTTGTGGCTGTTGGCGACCATCATGTCCGTCACTTGGTCCAAGGTCTTCCCAGCCACCTCAATACCATTGACCTCGAGGATCTCGTCACTGACTGCCAGCAGCCCTGTACTCTCAGCCAGGCCCCCTCGTACCAGGCGGGAGATGAAGATGCCTGGAACCCGCTCCAGGCCCTGGGGAGCTACACGTACACTCATGCCATCTCGGATGTAGAAGCCCAGCGGGCGGTCGGAGCCGTGCTTGTGCAGGCGCACCCGTCGGTGGGTCTCAGGCAGTAGGTCCACATCTATGACTGAAGAAACCTGGCGGAAATCTTGGGGCAGGCTGATTAGCAGGGGTGGCCGGGTGCGCAGGGGTGCCACTGGCCGAAGTAGAAGCCCTTTCTTGCGCCGCTGCAGAGAGTTGGAGGCAAAGGCCAGGCCACTGGAGTCAGCTTCTGCTGCAGGAGAAGGGGGGGTGCTGAGATCAGAGACCCTGCTCTCCCACGTCGGCCCTTTTCCCTCAGGCCCAGGCCTGGGGAAGGGGGCATTGTAGCTATTTCCTACCACTTGGAGGTCAGGCCAAGGGCAGGGACTGCAGACGGTGAAGCCTGGACGCCCTGGGCATGGACTAACCCTTGTAGACCTGCCCTGCCGTCCTACCCCACAGAGGCTGCCCACTGTACCCCATCCTCCTCACCCCGCTTCTGTACTAGCAGGCGCAGCGGTGGGGGCCCGCTGGCCAGGGCCCGGTGCAGGCTGTCGTCGTTGGTGAGGGGCAGTAGGTCGCCGTGAGCATCTGTATAGCCAAGTAGCACGTCCAGGCCCGGGATCTGGTGCACTGCACGCAGCAACCGCGAAAACTCTTGGAAGCCACTCACCGAAGCGCGGGGCAGCGCGAAGCGTCGGAACTCAGCATCAAACTGGAGGCAGGGGGTGGGTGAGAGGAGGGGTCAGGACAGAGCCCGTGCCCTTTCCCACCACAGGTCCGAGGGTGTTAGAGGTCGGAAAAGGCTGTCACTACGGCTGCAGCCTTGCGCCCAGGCCTCAGCTCCAGTACAAGGGACGCTGTCCAAGGTCTTCTCCCCTCCCTCCAGGTACCAAGGCCACAGAGGGACTCTAGAGGCCGGCAGTGGAAGGAGGATGGATGGAGGAAAGCGAGAGGAAAGGCCGGAGAATGGGACATGAATGATGGAGGCGAGAAAAAAGGTGGTGGGGACTAAGAAGCTAGGAGAGGAGAGAATAAGGGAATTGGAAGCGCCTAGGGCCGAGGCCGGAGCCGGGGCCAGAGGGGCCCTTACTTTGCTCTTCACCTCGACGATGTTGTCGGGACTGCGCGCCGGGGTCCTCTGCGGCCTGGCCATGGTGGGGCCGGGCGGGCCGGGGACGGTGCCCAGGCGGCCCGCCGAGGCGCAGGTGCACAGCCCCGGCAGGCCGGCTCGTGCCGCCCCGCCCCTGACGGTAGCACTCGCCCCGCCCTCCCATCCGGACCATGACGTCAAGGGGGCAGCGACAGAGAGTGGAACGCGGAGTCCACGTTTCCTAGGAAACGGAGATGGGGCGGAGGCGTCTTCGTGTGCTCTTACGTCATTACGCTACGGCGCGCAAGTCTCTGGAGTCTGGGGGAGGGGTATGGCCAATCCAAAGGGATGTTAAGGGAAGTGACATTTATTGAGTGTTGTCTATGTACTATTATTTCCATTGACCTTACAACGTTACATGATTGCATGTTTTAGATGAGTAAACTGAGCCATAAGTATTTGCTGAGCTCCGCGGGTTCACACGTTGTTGAACTGGCTTTGAGCCAACTCGCTCGACCACTCCTGGCCGCAGCCTCAAGCCCCGGATCCCTCCCTCTCCATCCAAGCCAGCCCTTGGCCCCATCCTTCCCGGTGTCACGGGAGTCTTAGCGAACGGCCCAAACGCCGGGCCGCTGCTCGGAGACACCGGGGTAAAACCAAGCAGGTTGGTAAGCCATTCTACCCCACAAGACTCTGGCCGCAACTGCCCGAACAACACGGGCTCGTGCGCACGCGCGGGCACGCATGTGGGCGGGGCCTCGACCTTGGGTCCCGCCCAGCCTGGTGCGCTTCCTCTTCCGACGAGAGGCGGGGCCCCGGCGTCCGCGGGAAACCCAGGCTGGTGGTTCTCTGCTCCCGGCCACTGCGGGAATGGCAGGCTTGGGGAGCTTGGTCCTGCGGCCTTGGATTCGAGAGCTGGTCCTGGGGTCAGATGCACTCTCAAGTCCGCAGGCGGGGCAGCTGCTCGAGGTGAGTCCCCCACAATTCTCAGGGCTCGGAACCAGGGCAGGGCCCGAGGGCGGTGGGACTGACGCCACTTGACGCCGTCAGGTGCTGCAGGAGGCCGAGGCCCCGGGCCCGTCCCGCGCCCCTGACCCGTCTGAAGTCGCGGCCGCGCTGCTTGTGTCTGACGGGACTCACAGTGTCCGGTGCCTAGTGACGCGGGAGGCCCTGAACGCCTCGGACTGGTGAGAGAGGCGGCGCGGGGCCTGGTGAAATCCGGGTCTAGCGGGAAGAACGCGAGGCTCGAGCCGGAGGTGCGCGGGCCGCAGGCGGGCGGGGCTGTGTTCGAGCGGGCTAAGGCCATGACGGTCGCGCTTGCGGCAGGGAGGAGAAGGAGTTCGGCTTCCGAGGGGCAGAAGGCCGGCTGCTGCTGCTGCAGGATTGTGGAGTCCGCGTCCGAGTCGCCGAAGGCAGCGCGGTGAGTAGTGAGGCTGGCTTGGGTGGGTTAATGAGCCTGACTCCGTGACAACTCCTAAAACCTGCCCCGGAACTCAATCCTTCAGCCCGCTGAGTTCTACCTCCAGGTGGACCGCTTCAGCCTGCTGCCCACGGAGCAGCCCCGGGAACGGGTGATTGGTTGGTAAGTGATGCCTCCCCCCACCAGCTGTTTCTCTCTACCCACGCCTGGCTGCCGTTAGTATAGGTCTTTTGGTTGGGAGGGCTCAGGTCCCTAGTAACAACATTGCCTACTACTCTGCTTTTTTTTTTTCCCCTCAGCAACCAGGACCCGGATGTTCAGAAAAAGCTCTTTGATTGTCTGGAGTGAGTATGGAATTGGGCTCTTCAGTCAAGTGTGGCTGTGTCAGGGAATGGCAAATGTGTGTAGACAGGCCTCGGGATTGTTCCTCAGGCTTGTCCTCTCTGTTTCTATAGGGAGCACCTTTCAGAGTCCATCTCCCCTGGTGCAGGTACTTATAGGGGTTGGCCAGTGACCCTAACTCCCGTAGAGTGACCTCCCAGTCATCACCTTGCTTCCTTAGTAAGCTCTTCTCCCTCCCCACCCTTCCCTTCCTTCTCTTTAAGTTTTGGCCCATCCTCTGGTCCCCTGCCCTCAGGCCTTTCACTGTCCCAACTTCTGGATGAGGTGCAGGAGGACCAGGAGCATCGGGGGGCGCTAGTGCACCTGGCTGAGAGCTGTTTGATGCTGGCAGGCCCTTGCACAGCACCCCCCCTCACCCGCTGGGCCTCCTCCCGCCTTAGGGCCACGGTCAGTCTGGGGCTTCCCTTGGGGAGTGTCAGGGTGAGGAGTTGGGCAAGGACTGTGCTGAGAGTTTATGCCCCACAGGGAGAAGCTGTGTACACTGTCCCCAGCTCATGGCTGCACATCTCTGAGAATGACCAGCGAGTTCTGAGTTCTCTGGGCCCAGGCCAGAGGACACAGGGTAAGGAGGACTGGAGAGGGGAAGAGGGAGTACCTGGGGGCCCAGTGCTCACAGTGCTAATAAGCTCCCCCTGATCCTCAGGCCCTGAGCTGCCCCCACCAGACCCAGCTTTGCAGGACCTGTCGCTGACCCTCCTGTCTCCTTCCTCACCTACTTCCTCAGGTAAGGTGGTGCTCAGGCCACAGGCATTCACTGCTGTCAGCCAGGTTCCCAGGCTGCTGCAAAGGTTGCACACCCAGGTGGGGGATGAACACAGTCCCTGTAGGCTTGCCTAAACTCACAGGCCACTGAGCTGAGAGGGCTGTGCCCACAGTCAGTCCCCTCCTTCCCAGGAACCCCAGCTTTATCCAGCCACATGTCCTCAGAGGAGAGCGGTGCCAGCATCAGCCTTCTGCCTGCCCTGTCCTTGGCTGCTTCAGATCCAGTGCAGAAGGGCAGCTCCCACACTGTACCAGGCATCTGTTCAGCCCCTGGCCCCCGGCCCCTCAGCTCCCCACACCCTAGTCATGTACCCAGTTCCCCACTCCTGAGCTGCACCCCAAGTCTGTCACCCCTGGGCCATGTACCCAGTCCACATCAGGCCGTTGTGACTAGGGCCCAGAAACCTAGCCTGGAGTTCAAGGAGCTAGGGTTGCCCCCCAAGAAATGGCAGCACTCTGCAAGGACAAAAACCAGCACAGGAGCCCTGGAGTCCAGCCCTGTTTGGGTGAGCATACATGGATAGAATGGGGGAGGACTTGGGTGGAGCTGGGAGTAGGGATGGGGAGGGGTAGCCTTGGATGGGGTTTAGGGGTCCTTACTGGTCCCTCTCCGGATACCGCATCACCTTTAGGATCCTCCAAAGAGGCATCGTGATGGTTCTGCCTTCCAATATGAGTACGAGCCACCCTGCACCTCCCTGTGTGCCCAGGTCCAAGCTGTCAGGTGAGTGCCTAGGGCTGCCCCTATGCTTTAAGTCATCAGTCCCCATCCTCATTGACCTACAGCCATGGTTTTCTTCCCAGGCTCCCTCCCCAGCTCGTGGCCTGGGCCTTGCACTTTCTGATGGAACCACAGCCGGATTCTGAGCTGACCCAGGTGTGAGGGAGCATGGGGGAGGATAGACAAACAGTGCTCCACACTCTGCTTTGAGTTTTTTAATAAAATAATCTCATGCGGCAGGAAAAGGAGAGGGTCAGGGGGTGGGGCCGCCGCCTCTTTGGTCTGTGGCTGGGGAGGGTGGGTTTGGCTCAGGGCTGGAGGACTCTGTAGGCAGTGGGGGCAGAGGTTGGGCTCCAGGGCCAGATCCTGCAAGGGGAGGAGGAAGGGAGAGGAGGGGTCAAGACCGGACCAAGCAGTCCTGCCCCCCCCCTCCCAGCTGGCCCCAGCCTCCTCTTACCGAGGCTTGGAGACGAAGGTGCCTCAAGCTTTGGTCTCCGCTTGAGGACAGGGGAGCGCTGCAGCCGCAGGGGCCGTTCTGAGACACACAAAGACTTGGCAGAGGAGGGGGCAGTTTTGCTAGGGGCTTGCTGCCTGTTCCCAAGCCTTCCCGTGCATGCCCCCCCCCCCCGGGCAGAGGTCACTCTTCTGGAGGTGGAGTAAGGGCTAGGAGGAAGGCAGACCCTTGCTCCAGCCCTTCGGGCTCCTTAATTTCTCAACCCCTCCCCTCATTGGTGGCCCCCTCCAAGGACCAGAGCCACAAAGGGAGCCCTGGAGTCTACCCTCCCCCCTCTCCTCCTGCACTCAAGCACACAGAGCGGTGTCCCCCCTCACCAGCAGGGGCCTGGAGCTGGTCCTCATGCACAGACACTGCTCGTCGCCCTGCTGAGAGAGGCCTCGGCCTCAGCTGGCCAGCTGGGGGAGGCCAGGATATCAGGGTATGGTCTGGACAGCTATCCCAACCCCAGCCCTTGCCTCCCCCGTCAGGGTCCGCAGCCCTGTATTGGAGTAGGGCCTAGGGTACCTGCTTACCTTCATTCCTGGGGCCCAAGCAAGGGTCCTCGGGGAGGCCCAGGCTGTCTGGGGAGGGGCTGGCTCTTCGTGGGCTGGGGCTGGGACAAGGTTGGGGGGGGCCGGGACCATCCTGTTGGCCCCAACCACGGCCCCTAAGCTCTGCATTCAGCTGCTGCCCCAGTGTCTTCCAGCTGGTAGACTCAGGCCCTTGACCCTCCGGACCAGGTCTGCACGAGGGGTCTGCAGGAAGAATGGTATGAGCCTAACCAGTGGTCTGACAGCCCCCCCGCCCCGCTGCCTACCGTTGCATGTCCCCCAACACAGTCCATGGCCCTTACTCACCAGCAGACACGGAGTGGGTGCGGGACTTGATTGAGATGGGAGGGGCCTCTGTGGAACTGTCCATAATGTCACCTGCAAGGCAGGGCTGGGGGTTCAGGCACCAGCCCGTGGGAGGGAGGGGAAGAAAAACCTGGCCTCTTTCCCTTGTCCCCCAGGAGAGCCGATGCTTTGGAGACTAGCTCCCTATGGACCAGTCCCTCACCGAAGCTGTACTGCCCTAGCACAGGGTCCCGCTTACCATCCGAGCCAGCCTTCTTGATCTCTCCATCCTTGCTCTGTAGGAAACAGGGGAGTCAAGCTTAGTCGTGCCCTCACTCTAGCCTTGTTCTTTCTTCATTCTTGTAACTACCAGTAAGTGCCCACCAGGAGATGCTGGGATGGGTGAAGAGGAAGCTGATATAACCCAGGGGTGGTGATGAGAGGCTGGAAGCAGCTCACGACAGGAACGCGTGACAGGCCCTGAGATGCACCGGGTGGAGCACAGCAAGATGAAAGCAGTGACCAGGGCTGAGGCCTTGGGACGGGGTTAGGAGGCAGGGCAGTGTCTTGAGAGGAAGTCCCTGGAGGATTTGCTGTTTCAAATGCAGGTGACAAGGTCAGGGTTCTGTTCGATCTACAGCGGAAGGACCGTCCCAGCTCCAAGGAGGAGGTAGCAGGGGCCAGGGCAGAAGCCAGGAAGGAAGGAAGGCTGAAGCTGAGGACTATTTCGAGGAGGAGGAGGTAGAACTAATAGAGCCGTCTGTGTGTCATGAGTCTCCTGGTCACATATGTCACCCACAGACTGCCACATGGCACCTGCCCCCTCACTTTGCACTTGTGGCCCTCCCAACTTACTTGCTTCCTCTTGCCTTCGGTACTCCCGCTGCCTCTGCTCACGCCGATCCTCTGCAGCATCACTTGTACCCGCTGTTCAAAGGATGGGGCCAGCTCTGTGTCTCCCCGCTCCAGGGGCCGGCGCTGCGGACCGAGAAGCCCAAATGGGGAGAGGGCCCACTGCCTCAGGCCTTGCAGAGCCCTCGCCCCTTGTCCCCAGGCCTACCTTGTCAGGTCTGGCACCCAGTGTTTCTTCCTCCTCCTCAGCAGGTAGTAATATCATTGAATAGGCTTTGCTTTCCCGAGTGTAACGAGGCCGGCTCCTGCGGGCAGGGTCAGGGCTGCTGGTGCCCCCCTCAGCCCCACCAGGCTCCTCACCACGGCCGGGACGGGCTGGTGGCCGCAACAGGTCTCCAAGTGTGGTCTTCCGAGTGCGGGGAGCTGCCCCAGGGCTGGTCTCTAGATCAGGCCGTGGCCCCCGTGTTGAACGAGGCTTCTTGAAGGCAAAGAGGGTACCCAGCTTCTTTCGCAGTGTACGAGGAACAGGGGTGGCACTCCCCTCGTTGGCCGGGTCCTCTTCAGGGACCCAGCTGTGGGAATAAGCCAGCAGTGAGTGGAAAGGGCCATGGAATAGCCCACCCTCTCCCACCCCCTACAACTGCCCCTCACTCACAGGCGATCCTGCTGGATCAGCCTTTTGGAGAAGAATTCCTCCACGCCCTCGTCCACGCGGGCACTGAGCCCATTCCCTTCCTGCGGCAGGGCTGGGGGCACCTGGGGGACACCATAGGGTCAGGGCTGAGCACAACCATGAATTGTTTCCACCCCTTGTCTAGCAGCCTGGCCTGGGCAACTCCAGGACGTGGGAGCTGGAGTGACCCTAAGGGGCTACTGCCAAACGTTCTCATCCAACTGGTGGGCAGAGATGGTTTCACGTATCCCCTCACCAGTAGTTGGCCCTGGACACATATACCCAGCCCACACCTGTTCTTGTCCCGTGGACTATCTATGCACGCTGAACCAGCAGGCTAGAACCCACAGGCCCCCTGGGTCACACATTCCCATTTGCCACCCCCTCTGCTCCAAACAGTTCCCCGCAGTACCCTCCACCCCCACCCCACCCGGCCTGCTGGCAGCTCAGCGGCGCCTGCTGCTGCGTCAGACCCTCTGGGGGGCCTCAGGCTGACTATGCCTTCTGCCCTGTATCCACTGCCCCCACCAATACCCAATACACACAGACATCTCCCCACATAAACACCCCCTGGACCGGCGGTAGATGCAGGACTTGGCCCCACAGCCCAGCATCAGACTGAAAGTAACCCTGGGAGAGGGAGGATAAGATGGACACCCTCCCTCGCACATCCATCCATGCAGAGGGCCAACCCAAGATGCAGTCCTAAACTGAGATGTACCCCCAATGAAATCCACACACTCATGACCCTGCATGGGAACGGCCTGGGGAGAGGGTGGCCAGGGATAAACCAAGACACAGCAGTACGACCAGGTGGTCTCGGGCCCCTAAAATCCACCTCCCTAGCCGCCATCACTCCTGAGGAGCGGAAAAGCCACCCGTGACCCCCAATTCCACGAGCTCTAGAGTGGGGGAAGGGCGCTCACCTGGGGGCCCCCCGGCGGTGGCCGGTGGTGGTGCTGGCGCCGTGGCCGCGGCCGGGCCCGGGTCGGATGGCGCAGGGGCTGTCCAGCGGGTGGCAGGTCCATGCGAGGCAGTGGGCCGGCCTGGAGTCCAGGGGTGGCGGGGCTCGGAGAGCCACGCGCAGAAGGCCCCGCCTGCGGCTCTGCATCTTCCCCCGGAGCCGCCAGCTCGGGCTCCGGTTCCTCAGCAGCACCTAAGGGGAGAGCACCAGAGAAGCACCGAGCAGCGAACCCGGGGAGGTGGTGGTGGCAGCGGAGCTAGGGCGGCGGGGGACCCGCCCAGGGCGCGGGGAGGGGCCCGGCTACGCCGCCCGCCCCCCGGCCCCTCCCCCGCCCGCCGCTGTCCGTGGTGCTGAGCGCGGCCCCGAGCGGCGCGGCCCTGCGCTGCCGCCAAGCATGCGCATCCTGGGGTTAGAGAAAGGGGGAGGCGAATGGAGACAGTGTCCGGCTCCTAGTCTGCTCAGGTCCTGCTTCATGCTGACCATAGCAGACCGCAACCTGCGAACTGCACAGAGGGCCTGGGCTGGCTCAATCAAGGGTCAGGGAGTTCCTAGGACAAGACTGAATGAATGTGTCCACGTGCCCAGGTCCCCAGATCTAATGGAGAACTTTTCAGCCCAACCTGGTTAACTCCCTTTCCCCCCAGACCCTGACTTACTGTGAGTGGAGGGAACCAGGTGAAGACATTGGCTGGACTCAGGCCATTTCTGTGGAGGATTGTCATCCTAGTGGGGAGAGCAGAAACTCAGCCTGGGACACAGGCGAGCTGCGTCCCAGCCTGCCACACTTCCTAGTAAGATGGGAAGATCTAGAGCTCTAGGCCTGGCGTTCTGGGGCCACATACCTTCTGCTCCTCTTCATCCTCCTTTTCCTTCACCTCCTCAGGGAAGAAAAGACCTTCCAATTCCCCAGGCCCAAGGGGGCTGGGCTCACCCCCATCCAGTGCTGGTATGGCAAGAGGCATTGCCACTGTTGCCTGCTGAGCCAGACTCTCCACCTACAATACAATAAAAGATGGACAGTTGGGCCTCAGTCATAGTCCCATCAGTCCGAAAGGAACCCCGAAATACCCCTGGGCTATATGACCCCAAAGACATTATAGAACCCCTGCAAGGCAGTGACCAGGTCAGTGTGTGTGCGCTCGCACACAATTCTCCCTCACCAGCCGATCCCGGGCTGCATTCAGCCCCTCCAGAGCCTGAGCCACAATGCTCTCTGCCAAAGTCCCTGTGACTGACAACCGCATATCCCTGAGAGCAACAGAGAGCAAGGATTAATGGGCTATCTCTGCCCAGTCCCGTTCAGTCCAGTCCAGCCCAGGCCCATCCAGTCTACCTGAGCCTAGTGAAGGCATGTTGCAGCAGG